CTTTTGACTTAAGTCACAAGCATAACTCAGTCACACCTGTTCTCTCAGCCTAAAGCCTCTATACCGTTTTCACTGAGGACACCGGAAACTAACAGCTCTGTAAAACCTCAACAAACGTTTGAAACTCCAATATGTGACGAAATGTTCCTTCACTGATTAAATGTACAAAAAAAAAATAAACCCCAAAAACATCAGCATCATTATCAGAGTATTATTCACTACAAACACTAGTGTGTATAAAAAACAGCCAGTCCTCGCATCCTCCTTCTTTCCAACCCATCACTCTCTCGCTCGCTCTCTCTCCAATCACGGGCTTCGTCACAACCTGCACGAGCACCGCTGCAAAAAGTTGTTTTTCCAGAGGTAAGACTATAATTAATACACGTTATTATTCAAACGACAGTCTGTGTACCATATGTATTACCTTGATTATACGACAGCGCGTCAATCCGATCGGCTCAGACCGTAGAAGAGCGCGCCACATGCAAGCATTGTACTCTGGATAAAATCGTGCGGCGGCGATCGCGCATCGTTCTGTACGCGTGTTTACAAGGAAACGTTTAAAAGAGCTTTTGCAGAATAAAGTGTCACATTAAAGGTAAAAGTAACGAGGAACAGGACGTTTTTCAAGGTAAGACAGCCACGATGAAAGCGAGGGAAGAGAAAATAGTGAATAGTGTGGAAACAAGATTAAGGATGAGATACAGCAAACTTATAGGTTTGTAGAGGGTACGGACTAAATGCTCGACTCAGTCCTTTATAAACAGTCTCTGGGTGTAAGGGAAGAAAATTTCACTTTTATTTAAAATAGACGCATCACAGCTTGACTGATATGTTTCTGCTGTGCTTTATTAGAGAACAATGTGTTTTATGGCATGTGTAGGATCCGCTGTGCAGGGGAATGTACAGAGTGTGGGCTCTCTGGAGTCTGGATTTAGATTTCTCTGTCTGAGTATCGAATATTACTCAAGTGATCGGGCTCCCTGCATATTAAGTTTCACTTTGCTCCAGCTGGACTTTTTGGTCAATATTAGAATTTGTTTAACATTTTTTTATTTCTAAAAGTAAGTTGAACATCATAGTACATAACTCTCTCAAAGCATCGATTTTACTGTAACACTCCCATAAACCAATGCCAGACTTTATGTTTATAAAATAGGAAAAATGGGAGTTTGTGTGATTGCATAAGGAAAATCATGTCTACAAAGGTAAAATAGTGGCAAAAGCCAGTATATCTGTTATTTGCTTGTAATAATGTGGTGGTGTGTTGTGTGAAATGCAAACAAAAACAAATAAAAACAGACAGGGAGCGAGATTGGAAGAACGAATACTAATTTCTGCAAAGTGCGTCTATTAAATAAGCATTAGGCTGTAAAGACATACGTGTGTGTACAGTATAATAATTATGTAATATATACACAGTAATCGTATGCTGATTTTTCCCCGAACTTGAACTTGATGGTTTGAGATGGTCGCTCCCCTCTGTTGCTGTCATAATAATGACCACTGCTCCAGTGAGCTGCTACAGTTTGTCCACGTTCTTCTTCTGCTCTGTATTCATAGCAGGATTCCCACCATTGCTTGTGTTCCTGATGCAGAGCGTGGCTGATGTGTCCTTGAACTTTCCTCCTCTGTGTTTGTGCTGCTGCCGGCGAGCCCTTTCAACATGTGTTTATCCATGTTGTGCTGCTGCTGGAGGAGGCTCCCTCCTAATGCGCGCTGTCAGTCTGGAAAAAGCAGGTTTATATTCAGGGTTCTGAGTGCAAAATAACAATGTCTGATGTTCCTATTTGTGTTTTGATTGTTGTTACTGATTGCAGGCCTCCCAGGGGTGCTGCAGGGCTTTCAAAAGGGGTTAAAAAAAGAAGCAATCAAGATGAATGCTGAGTGCAGTGCACTTCTTCTAATGACCACTAGATGGGCTGTTCATAAACTCACATTGTATTACAGTTTTGATAATACTCTGTAATTGTCATTTGAAAAGAACGACAGATTCTGTGGTCTATATACCAAATGTATTTTTGCAGATTAATTTAATATTGACTAAAAAAGGTGGCCTGCTATTTCTATCATGCTGCAATAATTCTGCAATTTACCATTAAATCAGCATGTTTACCTGATGCAGACCTAGATGCAGCTTTTTTATCTTATATGCATTAAAAAAACAGGAATAATAATCACTAGTATTTTTTTATTTCACAGACATCCCTAATACTCTGTTGTAGGATTTAAATAGCTTTTAAAATGCAAGGGAAAATCAAGGGCTTCATGTACATTAGCTATGTTTCTGGTTATAGATGTTTACATTTCTTGCAATAAAAAAGCAAAACTCATACAAATATTTTCCAATAACCTTATAATTTACAGTTTTTGCAATTATTCAAACCGTTCATCTGATTATGTCCCAAAGATCAATATTCATGCTTTTAGTGTTTGCAACAGTGACAAGAACTTATCTTCACAAAATGTTACTTCTGGCTAGATGCTTGAACGATAAGGTGTACAGAGAGGTGCTATTTGGGAGCCTCGCATATCAGCTTGTGCTCATCTGTGAGCATGAAAGCCCGATTCATGGTTCGGGTGTTCTCTTTAGGAAGAATGAGAGCATAGCATGTAGGTGCTTTTTCTTGTTCTAGGCAGAAGAGATGTTTAAACGCTGCATGATCAACATTCACACCTTGGCGTTTTCACGAGGACTTTGACTGCGAGTTTAAAGGGTTTCGTGAGCCAAAAATTGTGAGAAGCGATACTAAATTTTTCCTTGTCGTTCCCTGGTGGGGGCGGAGGTGTTGAAGAGTTTCGGCCAGCTTTAGAGTGTTCTGCACAGTTTTGTCTGGATGGGCTCTTTGCTTACTTGCTTCCACAAAAAAGTGTTGATTTCTGCCGATAATCTTGACTCACTACTTTGTGTTAACTTAGAAGAGCCCCTGTAAGCAGCAAAGCCCATGCAGTTTCTTTTGGTAGAGGAAATAGATTCTTGATACTGAAGAAGCTTCTCGGATGAGAGGTGAAACGTCTTCGAGCAACTCAAAGAAGTCCAGACGCTTTTCTTTCCAAGCTCCTTAGATTTTAGCACCTTAGTCACTGCAGTCAGACCAGTGGATGCAGCTTTGTACTGGTAACGTGTGTTCCCATAACAATGCCAGACAAAGTCATCTGTTTAAAAGACAGACATAGTCTTTTAATTAGCGCGTTCACCAACACGATCTTGGTGTTTTCAAACCAGATGTGACGAGCGAGAGATGGATCTGTCTATGCTGGTTAATGACTTGTATGTCACATGTTCTTAACCAATGAGCAAGCCCTGGATAATCTTCTGACTTAAAGTGACCAAAATGGACTTAATGTTTTATTCACTGCGACCCAAAACGAGTGACTGAGATCGTGAACTCGTTAGGAAAGTGTTTACAGATGTCAAGTGCCTCCTCCACCCCAGTGGCCATTAAAAGAAATATAGTTTCAAGACATTTCACCAGTGGAGAGACCCAGGAGCTACGTCTTTCTCTT